TCCCTTTACAAAAAAAAAAGGCAATTTGAGGAGTTCTGTGGTAAAAAATGGCTTGGAGGTATGGAGCTGTTCTCAGAGTTGGGAAGAAAGATCTGGGTTCCAGTCTGGTCTCTGCCACATGCTGGCTGTGTGACCTTGGGCAGATCACTTACCCCCTAACTGTCCCCAGACTGGTTTCTGAGACTCTTTGTTATATCTACTTTGGTGAATTTACATAGGCATGGTCCAAAATATACACATGTTCACGTGTGTGTGCGTGCATGTGCATGTGCACGTGTGTGTGTGTGTGTGTGTGTGTACATGTGTGTATAGTCTTCCTGAGGACAGGGAATATTTCATTTGAGTCTTTGTACCCCTGGCTTCTATTGTATAGTATCTAACACATAGTAGGTATCTAACACATAATGGGACGTTTGCCAAGTGATTGGCGGGAGCGGGTGACTTAGTAAGGGAATCAGGCAGAGGCAAGCGCAGGGACCTCAACACGGGGCCGCCTCTTCTCTGTGCCTTGGGCCCTGGCACTAACCAAGTTTCCTTTTTCCTGTTTCTCAGGTCATAGAGTCATAGACTGAGATATGGAAGGGACCTCAAGACCTTGAGTCCAGGGGTTCCTAACCGTGCAGTGCCCTGGACCCCCTTGGCAGTCTTGTAAAGCCTCGGACTCCTCAGGATAATTAAAAAAAATATAGATAGATAGATAGATAGATAGATAGATAGATAGATAGATAGATAGATAGATAGATAAGAATTCACAAGACACAAAGGAAATCAGTTATATTAAATTGCAATTATCAGATATTTGTACAACCCCTGGTCTAGTCCAATCCCCTTACTTTATAAAGGAAGAAACCAGTTCAGGGTCATTTGGTGATTTGCCCGCACAGAGAGTGTCAGAGGTGGATTTGAACACAGAGCCTGGTACTAAGAATGTGTTCTTGTTGTCATCAGAAACAGGGACTGATTTCCATTTCTGGGCAATGAGCACTATTCCAGACTGGAATGACTGCTTCTGAAGCTAGTGAGCTCCCCATCATGGGAAGTATTCAAGCTGAGGCCTGGGGACCACTTGTTGGGTTCGGTGGTTGCTGAGGCCTCTTCCATCTCTCAAACCCAGTGATCGTGTGTAGCGCTCAGCAAGAAGGAGATGATCTTTCCTCTGGCCTGTGATCTAGCCAAGCTGAGTCCAGTCCTAGGCCTTGCATTTTAGGAAGGACGTGGGCAGAAGGGGAGATTTCAGAGAAGGATGGAGCCCATAGAGGAGGAGGATGGGCTACAGGACCTAGGATGAATGGCCTGGAGAAGACTGCATGAGAAGGAGGCCTCTTCAAGTGTTTGAAAGGTTATGTGGAAGGGCACTAGGCTTGTGCCCCTTGACCCAAGGTGGCATAATGAGGAGCAGTGGGTAGAAATTGAAGGGAGAAGACAGGTTTTTGCTTGATGCTAGGACGAGCTTCTTCATCATTAGAGCCACCTAAATGGAATGGCTGCCTGTGGGGTAGTGAGCTCCCCCTCACTGAAGGTCTTTAGTCTGAAGCTAGATGACCACTGGTCAGGAATATGGCAGAGAGAGTGCTCAATGGCCTCAGAGGCCCCTGCCAACTCCAAATGCTGTGATTTGGGTCTTAGAGGCTTTCCCTAAAATTGAGAGAGAGAGAGAGAGAGAGAGAGACAGAGACAGAGACAGAGAGACAGAGAGACAGAGACAGAGAGAAAGAGAAAAGAAGAAGAAGAAAAAGAGGAGGAGGAGAGAAAGGGAGGTAGGAGAGAAGAGGGGAGAGAGAGAGAGAGAGAGAGACAGAGAGACAGAGAGAAGAAGAAGGAGGAGGAGGAGGAGGAGGAAAAGAAGGAGAGAGAGGGGGAGGAAAGAGGAAAGGGAGAGGGAGGGAGGAGAGAGAGAGGGAGGGAGGGAGGGGAGAGACAGAAGAAGAAGAAGAAGAAGAAGAAGAAGAAGAAGAAGAAGAAGAAGAAGAAGAAGAAGAAGAAGAAGAAGAAGAAGAAGAGGAGGAAGGAGGAGGAGGAGGAGGAGGAGGAGGAGGAGAGGAGAGGAGGAGGAGGAGGAGGAGGAGGAGGAGGAGGAGGAGGAGGAGAGGAAAGAAAAGAGAAGAAAGAGGGGGGAGGGAGGGAGAGAGGGAGGAGAGAGTGTGTGAATGCACCATCAGAGAGACATCTGAAATCTGTACTGGGCTTTCTTGCTCTCTGATCTGTTTCCTGACTCTCCCTTCTCCTTATTCAGCTCAATATTGCCAGCAGCAGAGGACTGAGGGACTGGACGGGCTGGTTCTCTCTCAGCCCGTCCAGGATACATTGATAGGCTTTGCAAGGCTGGGCTGGGCTGGGCTGTAAAATGACTAACTAGATTTCTCTTTAATGGAGAAGGCTTGTTTTTGTTTAATGGAGTGTGTGTGTGTGTGTGTGTGTTTGTGTGTGCGCGCGCGCGCAGCAAGGTGGTTCAGCAGCAGACGGTTGCCATGGAGACCTTTTCAGTGTTGCCGCTAGCTGAGAGATGCAGAAGTGAGCCTTCCCGGCGTCCTGTCCCTTCCCCCACCATGCTCAGAATTGCCTCCTGGGATTCTGGAGACTTTGTGAAGCCCTAGAAAGAGCCCTGGCTCTGAAGTCAGAGGACCTGAGTTCAAAGCCCCTCCCGGTTATGATTACTAATGCAGCTTAGGCAAGTTGGCCTCGGTTGCCTCATCTGTAAAGTGTGTGGGGGGGTTCAGGCTGGATGGCCTTTGAGGTCCCTGCTGGCTTTCAATCTGAGGATCCTAGGATGGAGTCACTTCATCCCTGTGAACCTCGGTTTCCTCATCTGTAAAATGAGGGGGATTGGGCTGGCTCCTTTCTAAGGGCGTGGCACCTTTTAAAGCCCCATGGCCACTTCACCTCCTCCAGGAAGCCTTCCCTGATCTCTGATCAATAATGACTCCTCCCCCCAACTCGACTTCAAATATCACACCCTACAACCTTCTGCTGCATTTTCCCCGTATTATTATGTACTAAAGAGCTTTGCTATGTGTCCTATCCTCCACTGGACCCTGAGCTCTATGAGGACGGGTAAACTGTCTTTTAGAAACGTTTATAGGGGAAAATACTCATGTATGTGATACAATATCGGTCATAGCAAAGCGCTGCAGGGAATTTTGAGGAGAGATTGTTTTCCACCGTGGGTGGGGGGTGGGTGGGCAGGAATCAAGGCAGGCCACGTGGGGGAGGTGGCAACGTGGCGGATGAACCTGGTAATGCTGCCCCTGTTTTATGTCGGGGAAACTGAGGCTCAGCCCCACGTGACCCAAGAGGCCCCTTCTCTGCCTCTCTGCCAGGCATGGGTGCGGAGGACGCTCAGGCCCAGAAGGCTTGGAGCCCGGATGGGGCGGCCAGGGGCTCGGCAGAGAAGTGAAGGCCAGGCAGGACACAGGATGCAATTTTCAGGGAAATGCCGACAAATGCCTTGCAGCTTCACTTGCAATCTCCTCCGACTCGTGGTTTGATTAGCCGGAAAGGGGAATGTGCCTGGGCTTCTCCAAAAGCCACAAATGAGGCTGGCTGGGCCCCTCCTTTAGGGCTCTGCCGACAGACTGTTCTGGGAAGCGATGAGAAGGTCCATGTCTTGGGCAGCCACAGAATGTAGATGCGAGTGAGGCTGCTGGCCGAAAGGCCCGGGGGGCCGAATGGAGACGAGGGAGGGGGCGCTGATGGGGGAAGGTGACGGAGGAAGAAGACTCTGGATGCCTGGGCAGGCACACACCTGGTTTCTAACCTTGTTTCCCTGAGACAAACCTGGAGAAGTCTGTCTGCCTTGGCTTCCCAGCCCGGCTGTCTGCACCACTCTTCAGGCAGTTTTACGGGTAAAGTTGTTTTCTGAAATTTGTGTGACCTGCGCTTGTCATCCCTTTCCTAATTAGAGTCAGGAACACTTGAGTTCAAACCCTGTCTCAGAAATATACTAGCTGTATGACTGAGTAAGCCATTCAATGGCTTTCAGCCTGCTTCCTCATCTGTAAAATGGGGATAATCATGCCCCTACCTCCCAGGGCCGTTGTGAAGCTCAGATGAGAGGGCAGATGCCAAACATGTTGCGAACCTTGAATCGCTATGTGAATTCTAGCTAGCACCAGCATTACCGTCATCGTCACCATCCCAAGGTCACAAAGAGAGAATGCCACAGGCCCAGAATTTGAACTCAGAACCTTGATTCTTAAAAAAGATGTAGATATATAAAACTATATATTATGTCTTTAAATTTTTCTCAATTACATGTACATTTTTTAATATTCATTTTTAAAATCCTGAGTTGCAGATTCTCTTCTCCCCATTAGCCCCTCCCCCATCCCCCAAGAAAACAAGCGAAATCTCAGTTATCCCTGTGAAGTCACGCCAAAGTTATTTCCATATTAGCCATGTTCTTGCAAAAGAAAACACACAAAACTCCCAAGAACAATAAAGTAAAACAAGTTTGCTTCAATCCATGCTCTGAGTCCATCAGCAGAAGCTCAGATTCTAGCCACAGCTTTGGGCCCACTCTATCATACCAGCCTGCCATGGGCTGAGATCTAACTATCTCAGAGATCCAAATGGCGGCATGGGTCAGTAGTACCCTCTGATTGGTCCCTTGAGGGAGTCAGAGGACTAGCTGTTAGACTATAAGCTGCTTGAGGGCAGGGCCTATTTCATTGCTGTCTTTTTGTCCAAGCACCAAGCATAGTTCCTGACACAATGGATGCCTAATAAATGCTTCATTAGGCACAGTGGGAGCCTAATAAATGCTGATTATTAAAAATCCCAACTCTACCATATGGGACCTTAGGGAGCTCATTTCCCCCTCTGGGCCTCAGCTTCCTTATCTGTAAAATGAGGGGTTTGGACTGGATGACCTCCAGCCCAAGATCTTGGAGTCTTTGATCCCCATTCTGCTTGAGCTCAGGGCCAGCCAGGCCTCCTTGGCTTGTGCTCCAAGACTTGAATTACTCTTCTGAAGACTCCTCTCTCTGCCTTTGCCTTCCTAGGCTTCCTGGCTCTGGAGAAGGCTGCGTGGGAAAAGACTCCCTGTCACTGGCTTTTGCTTCTTCCTGGCCCTGTCCATGGCCGCCCTCACCGGCTTCTCTCCAGGCCTCCCAGCCCATGACCCCGGGGGGCCTGCTGAGTCTCCTCACAAGGCCGGCCGACCCCTCAGGGCAATGGAGGGCATTCCTCCAGGCAGCCCAGAGGCTCTGAGCTCCAGTCAGGGTCCAAAGATGGCCCCCATGAGACCCTGGGAAGGATGGGCCTCCCTGAAGAACTCCAGCTTGGCCTGCAAGGGTGATCGAGGCTCCAGAGGTAGAGTAGGCCACGGCCATCCCCATCCTGGCAAGTCCAGCAGATACCTGGGCCGGGCCAAGAGGGATGCTGCTGCTGCTGCCACTGCCGCCGTTACCACCACTCTGAGAGACTTTGGTGCCCCAAGTCACCTGGACATGACCAGGAACATTCTTCTGGGGAGGAAGGATGCCAGGGGCCAGAAAGCCAAGGGCCCTTTGGCTTTGAAACATGTCTGGCGTGATGACCACCTCCCAGAGCTGCCAATCACGGAAATCCCTCCTGGTGCCCGTCTGGAAGCACAGGCCATCACTTCCCACCTTGAGGACTTCAGACCCAGTCAGGGTCGGCCCACCCTGCATAAACCAGACGTTCAAGCATTTGGGGTTGGGAAGGAGGCCCAGGGCGGGACAGCTGATTTGTGGCCAGGCTCTGTGGAAGAGCTTCAGGGCTCTATCTGGTGCGATACTGGGATGTCTGGGGGCCTCTCAGAGGCAGGTGAAATCCCACCATGGTTCACGGCAGACGACATGTGGAAAATGAGGCTGCTGGCCCGTGGAGAGGTGACTGGCAGAGCAAGGGTCCCCGGGCACGGGCAGGTCCTCCGAGTTGGCTTCTCTGTGGAGGGGATCCAGAATGCCCTTCCCCCTGACCTCGGCCAGCTGTGCTCCGAGGGGCTCTGTGGGCTGATCAAAAGGCCCAGGGATCTCTATGAGGTCCTCGCCTTCCACCTGGACCGGGTGCTGGGCGTATACCGCAGTTTGCCCGTGGTGGCACGACATTTTCACAGCCCCCTGCTGCCCTACCGCTTCACAAGGGGAGAGCCCCGACCTGTGGTCTGGTGGGCCCCGGACATCTGGCACCTGAATGACAGTGACCATGATCAAAATTCCTTTGCCCTGGGATGGCTGCAGTACCAGGCCCTGCTCCGGCTACGGTGTGGCATGGCCAGCTCCGGGGCTCCGCTGGGGGAGGCCCCCTGCCTGGGCGTCCGCCATACTGAGTGGGCCCGGCTAGCCCTCTTCGATTTCCTCCTACAGGTAGGTGGAATGTTTGCAGGCGAGGAGAGACAGAAGCAGGATCGGTCATCAACTGGTTTGCCTAGTGCTGGCAGGTATTCATGGCCCTCTGCTTCTCCAGGAGCCACTGATAAGGAAGGGGGTCTGCCTGAGGGGAGCTGTGACCAGTCTGCCTTTTACTAGGACCCTTCAGGGCATGGGGTGGGAGAAGGAAGCTGGGAATGGAGGTGGGAAGGAAGCAGAGAACGGGGTGGGGGTGTTGTTGGGTCTTCAGCCATCGGCCCTGGCCAGTTTGCCAATTCCCCTGCTGCGGCCCCATCCCCTCACATCCCGTGAAGCAGACCTCCGCCATCCTGCCTGGGGAGGGAGCCTCTCTGTTTTGGGACTCTGCCCCGGGCCTGGGCTGTCCTGTTTGGTAAGCTGTAGCCCAGAGCACATTGTCATCTGCCCTTCAGGCCATCCTCTCCCCCACACCAAACCCTTCCCATCTCAGGCTCCAGGAACAAATTAATACCGCCTTTGCTTCTGGAAAGTCCATGCTGATGATTGACTGACCCCATGGTTCTAGTCCCTATCTCTGTGACTCCACGGACAAAACTCCTTCCCTGGCCATTGTCCCCCTATTTGTGTGGTCTATCCCATAAAGGATGAGCTTCTGGAGGGCAAACATTTCAGGTCAACAAGCATTTATTAAGCACCTACTACGTGCCAGGCATTATGTTAAGCACTGGGGATAAAAGGAAAGGCCAAAAAAAAAAAGTCACTGCCCTCTGGGAGCTCACGGTCTAATGGGGGAGCTAACATCCATTAGCAGCTTTTCCCAGGAACAGGATCTCCAGAGCAAGGGAGAATGGGGAGGGGAGGGGAGGACCTGGTAGGATGGACACCCAGGGAGGTCTTCCAGCCAACGGCCTCTGGTGTCTTCCTTTTTTTTCAGTCTCTTAGCCCCACGGCCCAGTCATAGGTGAAAATACACCCTGCAGCTCTCTGTTCTGAACAAAACCCCAGTGTCCCCTGCCTCCAGCTGTGGTGGCAGACTTCCTAGGCCCCTGAGACCTGTCTGCTTACAGAACGAGCAGCTGTCCACACAGGGCTCTGCAGGCAGTCTGTGCCAGGGACTCAGACCTGGGCTCTTGCCATCTCTTTCCTGCTTCTCTCCCTACCCACCAAGCGAAATGCTCTTGCATTGGACAGCTCCACCCTTCCTCGAAAACCCAGGGGCACGGCTGTCACGAGATTGGGTTTCCCTGGAGAGGAAATCAAAGACAGGGTTTTGGCAAGACCTAGGATAAACTGTATGCATCCTGTGGAAGCATCTCGAGCATACCCAATGGGTTTCTCTATGAAAAGCCTTTTGTCTGTTGAGGGAGGTGCTCGGTTCTCTTTGGGTAGCATCGTTTGCTCACCTTATGGATGTACTCTGGGCACTAGGTCCCCCCCCCCGCCCCCCACAGCTGAATGTAAGACATCTCTGCTGTGTGTTGGCTTTGTAGTGGAGGAGCACAAGGGTCATGCAGGCACAGGAGGACCCAACACAATCCACCATATTGACCCAGTATCAGTCAAGCCCTCATAAATCAACTGTGTGACATGGCAGCCCCAGCCCCAGCACTGTCCTGTACTGCATCCTTAGCGTCCTCGAGGGGGAAGCCAAGAGGCCCAATGTCCTTTTCCCTGGCTTGCTGGAATGCCTCCAAGACAGCCCATTCTCTCTCCTCCCCATTTAGACCGGAAGCAGCTGGACATATGAATAAATCCTCAGCTACTTCTATAACTCTTTGAAGTTTGAAAACATATTATGTCAGCTGAGCCTCACAACAACCCTAGGGGGTATTTCTTTATATCTGTGATGCTGTATCTAACAATGGTTGAGTAATTCACTCAGTAAGCATTTATTAAGCTCCACTTCTGTGCTGACGATAGAGAGCTAAAAAGAAAACAGTCCATGCTTTCATGGAGCTTGGATAGGATGTCCCATAAATCTGATGGCAGTTTTCAGCTTGGAGAGTTTGGGGACATACCATATTTCCTGGCAAGGAGTCAATGTATATGTGGGTAAGTTAATACAAAGGAATTTTTAGGGGGGAGGGAGTATTAACAACTGGGGGAATCAGGAAGGATCTTGTCCGGGAGGGTGGCGCCTGAGCTGTGACTTGACAGAAGGCAGCGATTCCGAGAAGGACGGATGGTGAGGGGGAATGTGTTCCAGCTACGTGGGGACTGACTCCCAGGTTGTGGAAGTGGGAGTTGGATGATGTGAATGTGGAAGAGCTAGCAGGGAGTTTTCAGGAAGGGGAATGATTTGAAATAAGACTGAAAGGATAGGTGGGAGCCAGATTGTGGAGGGGTAAGGAAGGCCCTAGAGGAGCTGGAATAAATCTGTGAGATGGTTCCCAGGATGGCAAGAGAACTGGAGATTGGGCCGTCTGTGGATGGGCTGAAGGCTTAGTTTCAAATCCTCTCTCTGGCACTCAGTACCTGTGTGACCTTGGACAAGTCACAGCCCCTCCAGGCTTCAGTCTCCTCATCTCCTAAATGAAAGGGCTGGGCTAGGTGGCCTTGAGATCCCTTCCCATTCTAGAGCTGTGGAGTGGGGACCTTTGGTCTGGTGAAAAGAAAGTTTGGCAGGGGCTGGGGTGGGCAGAGCAGCTGTCTTAAAGTCACTTGAAAGGCTGTCATATGAAACATATCAGCCTGTTCTCGGCTCCAGATTGCCCAAATTAAAAAGCAATGGGTGGGCATTGCTGAGAGGCAGATTCAGGCATGATATAAGGGAAAACTCGTTAACAATTAGTTGTCCCAAAGTGGGACAGACTGCCTCGGGAGGTCTGTAATTGAAGACCGTTCACCGTGGAGTCTTTTTCTCATCAAAGGTACAAGTTGTTCTAAACCAGGGGGTTTAATCCTTTTTGTGTTATGCCAAGGGTGTTTTGGACCCCTTTGGCAATCCAAAGAGGCCTACGGACACCTTTTCAGAATCAAAGTTTTAAATTAATGAAATAAGTTACACATAATTACAAAGGAAACCAATAATAAGGAAATAGTTTTTTAAAACAAAATTTTAAGTTCACCTGCACCAGTTTAAGAATCCCTGGACTAGGGGCAGCTAGATGATGCAGTGGATAGAGCATTAGGAGTCAGGAGGACCTGAGTTTGAATCTGGCCTCAGACACTTACTAGATGTGTGTTTGTGACCCTGGGCAAGTCACTTAACTCTGCCTCCTCCCCAAAAAAAAGGATTCCCTGGGCTAGACTGAACTCCAGGAAATCATAAGATGCTAGATTAGGGCTGGAAAGGACCCTAGAGGCCATGGAATTTAACTTCCTCATTTTACAGATGAGGAAACCTAGGCCCAGGGGAGTTAATTTCCCCAGGGTCACACAGCTAGTAAGTGACTTGAGCCTTCCTGACGCCAAGTCTGTCCATCCGGATCTGAGATACTGTGATTCAGCAGCAGGTCAGGAATCACGCAGCATCTTTAGGGAACAGTGAGCAGCAGCATCATTATTTATCACATCTGACAGCGATGGTCTAACCCTCACCAGTGAGAAGACAGCAGGACGGCAGATCCAGTCTGGTAAACGAGGACCTGGCCTCGTTAGGTGACTTTCCAGGATATAACTCAGTCTGGAGCCAGGGCTAATGCTTTAGGATGACTCCTCCCACATCAGCATGCCTCAGAGACCCCCCTTCCCTCTCATTTCCCATTTATATTATAAGTTGCTTGAGGCATTATTACACAGCAATGGGAAGTTTGCAAATTGGCCCATGTGTATTATTTCATTTGGACCTCAGAACAACCTTGACAAGTAGGTATGATGTTATCGACCCATTTTAGGGGATAAGTAGACTGAGGCCTAGAGGTGTTAAGGGGCTCATATGTAGCTAGTGTCAGAGACAGGATTTGAACTCAGGTGATTCTGGATTCTATTCATTATTCCCTCATTATGCTGTTTTAGAGTTTCTGGTCTGGCAATTTGGTCAGCCAATTCCATAGAACTTTCGATGTGGCTCAGGCTAGGGCCACAGTTGGTTGTGTGACCTTTGGCACATCAGCGAGCCTCAGCTTCTTCATCTGTCCAATGATACATACTGTGCTTCCCTCTCAAGATGTTTGTGAGGGTCAAATGAGATGGGGGGGGTGCCTAGTGCTCTGAAGACTGTCAAGTGCTACACGTATGTAGAGATAGGTCCTGGACCTGGGATTCCATTAGTGTAAGGAGAGGAAAATCCCTTTGCTCATGCAGGTCAGTGTCTTCTCTGCCACTTCTCATCTTAGGGAGCTGCCTGAGGGCACTGAGAGTTCAGGTAACTTGTCTGGAGTCATACACCAATAAGTGTCAGAACTGGGACTGGAACTCAGGTCTTCCTGGGATGAAGGCTAGCTCCCCCCACCCCATTCCCTGCTGCCTCTCACGTAACTTTGTCAGGCTGACCCTGGCAATATAAGAAAAAAGGGAGGGCACTTGCAGTGGCCCCTCTCGGTCATTAGAGGGCATTATGGGAAGCAAGCTAGCATGGGGGAAAGTATTAAAATTGGAGATTGAGCCAATTTCATGCTTGGCTGCCCACGGACAGAGTTTGAGGCCTCAGCGGTGTAGAAAGGAGAGCCGCCTCTGGAGACTTATGATGCCTCCGTTCAGAGTTAGAGAAATGGAATCTTTCTGCTGACCTGCCTGCTTGGCTTGTGTTCAGCGGCTGGAAATCAGCCTTTTCTAAACAGGATTCATCCTCTCTGTTCCCCTCATTCAGACTAAGGTTGCTTAATCTTCTGCTTAGAAAATCATAGCCTGGTGTTTGGGAGATTATGACCATGCTCCCCACTGAGACAGATGATTTATTATTGGAGCCCGTCAAGAAAAGGAGATGCTTTACAAGGCAGCCATGGCCATGTTTACCCACCCAGGGATACAGGAACTGGAAAAAACTAACCAGCACATAAAATGAAAGGTGCTTGATTAAAACGTATGTTCTCATTGTGGCTTGGGACTGAGGATTGCCATTAATCTTTATTAGCAGC